TTTTTTTTTTAGACAGAATCTACTCTGGCTTTGAACTCACTATGTAGCCCAGGATGGCCTTGAACTCGTGGCAATCCTCCTGCCTCAGCCTCCTGGGTACTCCAGTGCCAAGAATGCACCGTCATTCCAACTCACTTTGTTCTTGATAGCCGGGTTGATCCCTGGTCCCTGGCCCAGGAGAGGCTCGAGAAATTGAGGAAAGACTTTGGACTTCTCCAGATTACAGCAGGCTCTTTACAGTCCAGCCAGTTCTCTGGGTGGCAGCTGTCGAGGGCCTCTATTTGTCCCCCAGTGAAACTCCTGTGCCTTCCAAGAGCACCCACACCTCCCGTCTGCCCACTGCCCTTGACTGCCCCTTTCTACCTTTTTGAGTTAGAGGCTGATTTTGTTTTCTGTTGCTGCCGTAGCAGATCTCACATTTAGCACCTGAAAACAACAACCACATGCTCTGCGGGTCCAGAGTCCACAGGCTGATTTCTCCACTCAGGTTCTTCAGGCTGAGATTCAGGAGCTGGCTGCCCAGCCTCGACCAGGAGGCTGTGGGGCCTTTGCTTCCGGGATGGTGGCAGTGTTCAGATACAGCTCCACCAGACCTAGGGAATGGCGTCCCCACCCCCGTGCTGGTTGCTGGCAGGGGTCGGGGCCTCAGAAGCTGCAGCGCCCCCTGTTCAGGGTGACGGTCACCAGGGTGTTCCCAGCCCCTTCAGGACTCAGTCACTGCTTGTGACTCCCCTATGTCTGCTGAGCTCTCCTGCCTTCCTCTTCTGCTTTTATGGGCCCAGAAAATCCAGAATGATCTCCTTGTCTGAAAGTCAGACATTGGGCATGGTGGTGCATGCCTGTAATCCCTGTGTTTGGGAGACTGAGCCAGGAGGATCACCAGGAGTTCAAGGACAGCCTGAGCTCCAGGGTGAGATCCTGTCTCAAAACAGAACAAAATAACAACAAAAAACCCCATGAAAGATAAGACTGAATTAAGCCAGGTTATAGTGTTTACATTATGATCTCACGTTAGCAAACAAGGGCACTGATATTTATAGAAAAAGATCTGAAAAGGCGAGAAACGAGTTTATTGTGTTAATGTTGGAAATTAAATCATACACTTCCACTGCCAGATGTGGTGCATGCAGCTGTAATCCTGGGACTCAGGAGGCTGAAACAAGAGGATCACTTGAGCTCACATTTATTCATTTGCTCAGCCTTATGACATCTCTGAAATGGCTTTGGAATCATTTCGCCCACACTGTGATATAAACAAACCTGCCAGAGACAGTTCTGAGTGCAGCTACAGTTTTCTCTGACCGTTTCTGATCTGATCCTGGCTTCCAAATCCACTGCCCTTGTGAGGCTGCTGGCTGGGAGGGCAGTGGTGGGAGAGAGGGTGCCTGGGCTTGAGCCAGAGAGACAGTGAGAAATGAAATGCCCATGAAGGAGAGAGGGGGAGGTGCAGGGTCAGGAACAGAGGATGCATGTCTGCAGCTAGGGGAGAAGACAGCTGTGTGGCGGCACCAGGCCACTCGATGGCAGGTTCTCCTGCAGCTATCTTGGCAGCTGAGGTGCAGGAGTGGAAAAGACAGATGGATGGCAAGGCTGGTGGGTCCAAGGGTTCGGGATGAGCAGGTGGCTGTGGCAGAAGGGTGCAGGGTGAGGATACTGGAGTGCTGGCAAGAGGGGGGGTGAAGTCACAAATCTCGGAATCTGGGCCAAATGGGTCAGGAAGTGGACCTGAGAGGGAGAAAGGCAACTGAACGGAGCTGTGAAGAGGGTGGTTTTCCTCTTTTTTTCATTTTCTTCTCAGTACTGAGCACTGAATTAGGGCTTCTCACTAAGCTGCATGCCTAGCTTGACCCCCTACCCCCTTTAAAACTTTTTTTTTTTTGGTACAGGGATCAAACTCAGGACCTTGTGGTTGTGAGGCAGGCAGCAGCACCCCTGAGCTAAATCTCTGGTTCTTTTAAAACTAGTTCGAGACAGGGTCCTGCTCAGTTGCCTGTCAGGAGCAATGCTACATAATGTTAGGGAAAAATTATTTGGTTAGTTTAGTTCTCCTGCCTACAGCCCAGCTATGGAATTCTGAGACATAATTCCACTTTGGCCTCGGGTCACAACTGAGACCTCAGTGATCTGGGTGATGCTGTGATTCTCCAGGACAAGAAACATCCTGGGAGCTGAAAACATCCTGGGAGGAACAAACATCTACTGAGTTCTTCCTTGTTCTTGGATTGTTACACCTTATTTATGCAGGATGTACTGAACTCTCTGCAAGTCATTTGTTACATTTGTTTCTCCCAATGTACTGAATAAAAGGTGCGGTAAGCTAGGGGCTTTGATCTTTGCTGCCCAGAGCAGCACTCATCAGACCCGAAGCTCAGCTTCTTCTCAGTCTGAGTTTTCTGCCTGTCCTGTAATTTGCCGTGTACTGCCGTGGCTCGCAGGAGACTAGGACTTAACTGCAGAGGTTTTAGTAACAGGCGTGTGCCATCACGGCCAGCTAAGGAGGTTAATTTTATACGTTGACTTTCTCTCTTCTTTATTTGCTTTTCAGATGAGGTCTCACTATGTTAATCGGGCTGGACTCAAACTCCTGGGCTCAAGTGATCTTCCTGCCTCAGCCTCCACAGTAGTGGGGAAGACAGGTTCGTGCTATTGCACATGGCACTGCACTGTTACTAACTTGTGCATAAAAGGAACGTGTGTATTGCTGCTGAAGGGGCTGAGTTTTTCCCTTGGGGAGCGGAATGAACTGTGTTCTGTGTTTGCATTTTGACCAAAACCCCATCATGTGACAACCTTGTTACATGAGGTTGGCACAGAATTTTCACTTGTAGTATCATTTGGATGCTCATAGAATTTTAGATTTGGGGAGATCTTGAATTTTGTTTATTGCTCATGCCTTTTTTTTGTACCAGGGATTGAATTAAGGACCTTGTACTTGAGAGGTGGGTGGAGTGCCACTGAGCTAAATCCCTGGCCCACTAGATCTCAAATTTTGGATTAAGAGTAATCAATCTTTCTCTGCTCTTAAGGGATTCTTTTCTTTTTTGTGTGGTGCTTGGGGCATGTAGCCCAGGCTGGCCTCAAATTTGCAGTGATCCTCCTGCCTCAGCCTCCCAAGTCTGGGATTAGAGGTGTGCACCACCACACCCAGCAGGAATCTTGTGGGTGTTTTTGGTACAGGGGATTGAACTCAGGACCTTGCAGTTGTGAGGCAGGCAGAGGAACCACTGAGCTACATCCCCAGCCCAGGAATCTTGTTTTTTATAGATCACGGCTCAGCTGCTCAGACCCCACTGTGGAGTGAGCCCTGCCTGTAATAGAGATGCTCTGGGGCTCTTCTCTGCTGAGCAGGCAGCTTGGGGGGAGTGCAGGGGACCCAGGCGGTGCTGGGCTGGTGGGAGTGGTCCTGGGAGACCCACAGAAATGTCACCTGGGACTTGGCCCAGTCAGCCGGCCGTACCACAGTTCACCTTTGTCACTGGAAGGATAAAGCAGGCTTTGTGGCTACAGAGGTGTCTGTGTTGTGGATGGTGGCCTCTGTAACCTGGGGCCACCTCTGCCTCTCCAGACAGCACAAACGGAGTCAGTGCGGCCGGGAGGCCGGAAGTTAGCGGACCCCCATTCTGCAAAGTGGGGTTTTGTTTTTTTCGTTTTGGTACTGGAGATTGAACTCGGGTCCTTGCGGTTGCGCAGCAGGTGGCAAAACCACCGAGCTAAATCCCTGGCCCTTTTTTTGTTTTTTCTTGAGATAGGGTCTTGCTATGTAGTCCAGGCTGGCCTGGAACTCACTCTGTAGCCCAGGCTGGTCTCAAACTCATGGTGATCTTCCTGCCTCAGCCTTGCAGGTGCTGAGATGACAGGCAGGCGTGTGCCCCCCATCCACGGGTGTGACCTGGCAGTGACAGGATGTGTTGCAGGTGGCCACTAGGCTTGGTGCTCGTGGAAGGCACTGGAAAGATGTGGCCAACATCTGTCCATGTGAGGATAGTGGGCTAAAGCATCAGAGGGAATGGCGGGATCCTGAGAGCAGATTTTATCTATTTATTTATTTAGTTACTGGGTTTGTTTTGAGACGGGGTCTTGCTATGTGGTTCGGGCTGGCCTTAAACTCACTGTGAAGCTCAGGCTGACCTTGAGGTAGGGGTGGATCCTCCTGCCTCAGCCTCCCCAGTGCTGGGACCACAGGCCTGGGTCACCATTCCTGGCCGGAGAACAGATTGGAACCACCGAGGTAAACGTGCACACAGCCGTAGGACATCCCACGCGCAGCATCAGATTCCAGAACCCCTCACCTGGCCCGCGGGAACCGTCTGGCCCTCCTCAGCAAACCAGGCGGATCACACGCCTAGACAGCTTTAGTACAGGGATTTTATTTCTGTATAGCAAGGTCCCCCAAAGGGTTTAAAACAGAGCTTGGTCTTGGTAGACAAGGCGCACGGAACCAAGAGAACCCGCTCCCAGGGGGCGGCGAGGCCTCGTTCCGCGGCCGCTCCGCTGTGCACCTGCGGGGGGCGCATGCGCTCACGGTGCGACCTGGACGCCATGTGCGCGAGGGGCGCACGCAGGCTTCCTGCCCGCTTCCCACCCCAGGGGCCCTAGGGGCACGGGTAGGTGCACACGTGCAGTGCCGGGTAGGCCACCAGGCTGCCGCCCCTCCTGCGGCCCGGCTGCGCCCCGGGCGCCGGCTCTCCGCGAGCGCTGCTGAGGCTCCGGGGAGCGAGGGAGGCTGGAGCACCCGGCTTCTGCCCCTGTGCGAGAGAGCAGAGGTGCGGGTCAGGGCTGGACAGGTGGGAGGCCGAGGCAGGCAAGCCTCTCCCCCAGGGCCGGCTCAGCACCGCGGAAGGGGTCTGTCCTGGTCCCCTGGGCTCCCGGGGGCTCGGGGAGGGCAGAGCCTGACCGGTAGGGGCGATCCCACGTGTGTGGAAGTCAGGGCCCCACACCCCTGTTATTAGAGCAACAGCCCTGCAGAAACGGAGGGGATCCCCCAGGCGATGGAGGTGATCAGAGGATCTATGTGCATGTGTGAAAAGGCCACACTGAGACCTAGTATTCTGTAAAAATAATAGGCGTAATCAAATAAATTTTTTACAATGAAATAATCCACTAGAAACATTAAGAAAATGAAGTAAACGTAAAGGTGTGGGTGGCATTCATACCATACATATACATTTTTGTTTTTTTGAGACAGGGTCTTGCTGTGTAGCCCAGGCTGGCCTTGAACTCACTATATGGCCCAGGCTGGCTTCAAACTTGCAGTGATCCTCCTGTCTCAGCCTCCTGAATGCTGAGACTACAGCATTAACTGTTGGCATAGCCGTGAGATGCTGTACCTGCTGCACCCTCTCCTTGTCCTTTGGCCTGATCAGGGGAGGTGCTGGCTGGGCCGGGGCAGCGTCTCGGCCTCTTCCACTTAACTGTGTCTGAAATATAGGAGCTCAGCCTCACTTAGTTTCCTAGGTGAAAACTGGGATTGTACTGAGCACACAGCATTTACGGGCTGTCTATGCATGGGTGTTGGAGCATGCTGACATCCCAACCTCAAGAAAGGTGAAACCCAAAGAGTGACAATTCAAAGAGGAGGAAAGGGGGCAGGGCCTGGTGCTGCTGGCCTTGAATCCCAGCATCAGGGGCCTGAGGCAGGAGGATTGCAATTGGAGCCCACCTTGGGCTATGAAGTGAGTTCAAGGCCAGCCTGAGCCATATAGTAAGACAATCTTACCTTTGTGTCCAGTGAAAGCAGGCAAAAGGGCTAATGTTTATCAGTGCCCATCTGCAGGGACTTTTCAGCTTCAAATCTAATGCTCACACGACCTTTAGGGTGCATATTTCAGATTCAGAAACTGAGTCCTGGGCTGCTAAAGTAACTCACAGAAAACCAACTGAGCAGAAATACTGCAACACAAGTGTGTCAGAGTACATTTTTCCCACTGTTGTTTTCTTTGTTTGAGGCAGGGTCTCACTAAGTCTTCCCAGCTGGCCTCAAACTCGAGGCAATCCTCCTGCCTCAGCCTCCTGAATGCTAGGCTCACAGGTGTGCGCTGCCATGCCCAGTGTTTTCCCAGGTTTGGAAGACCGGGTTTGTAATGCACCATACATGGTGAGAAAGCTGGGGGATGCAACACACATCTAGACAAGGAAACCCACTTGGGCTTCGTAGCCTCCTGCGCTTAGCCTAATGCTGATTCTAAACAATATTTCTGACAATTTTGTGCATAAAACAAGTTTCCCGGCTTGGAACTTTTCACCGGGCTGTGACACCGGTCCTCCACAAGTTTAGATTCTGGAGCTCAGTGGGTTAGGGATGGTGCCCTGTATCCGCAGCAGGGCTGGAGCAGAACTCAAGGCCCACTCTGGAGCCTGTGCCCCAGCTGGAAGGATGGGGCCGTGCCCGTGTACCTGGCACTGCGCAAGGGACCTTCAGTCCCATCAGTCCCCGGCACTGAACCCAGGGCCTTCTCAATGAGCTACGTCCCCATCACCCCCCTTTTTTTTTGGTACCAGGGATCCAACTCAGGTCCTTGTGCTTGCGAGGCAGGTGGCGGAACCACTGAGCTAAATCCCCGGCCCAATCCCCTTATTATTTTAAACCTTGAGACAGGGTCTCAATAAGTTCCTCAGACTGGGCTCAAACTTAGCATCTTCCTGCCTCAGTGTGCGCTGCCACTCCCAGCTCCAAAGCTATCTTTATACATAAAAGAATCAAGGATTTACAGCCACACAACTCTGAAGGGCCAACCATTTCCTGCAATGGAAATCCCTGCTCGCTCCCCAGTGCCCCTGGAAACCCCAGGCCCGAGACAGGGTTGTTTCATCCCCAGCACCAGGAAAGGGCTTGTCGTGTCACTGGTATATGAGGCCTGCGGGTGGCGGGGCGGCAGGATGCGGCCTCTCTCTGCACCGCAGGAAGCCACAAAGCACTGGCATTGCCCAAGGACGTGTGGACGCCTCACCCCGGAGCACCTGGCCCGCACTTCTCCCCCTGGGCAGGAGCGAAATCAAACACCGTGTGACAGTGACGCCCACTACCTGTTGGCGTCTCACTTTCTCCTGTGTTACCGCTGCAGGGCCAGGATTCTCCAGCTGTTTAAGAAAGGCCGGCTGCTTCTGCAGGGTGGTGGCAAAACTCGCCCGTCCTTCAAGGGGTCCCCCAGCGAGACCCCGGCCAAAGCGCTTCTGTCTTAGAAAGCAGGGGCCTGAGGAGCCATCGTCCAGGGTCCCCACCACCCAGGCCCCAGCCTCCACCCGCAGCTGCCCAGCCGGTCAAGCCTGCCCTCTCCTGGCCCCTGGACCCCGCAGGCACCCATGCTTCCGGTGAGTTTTGACTCCCCCACCGAGTTACTGTTCTGATACTGTTCATTTCGCTGTTTTCTGGTCTGCAGTGGCTTCTTTTTCTTCTTCTGAAACATCTTTATCTTCTGACTCACCTGTCAGGGGAAGTACAGGGAAACATGTCGCTGAGGGTCCCAGACCTTTCCCTCCTGGTGTTGGGGACCGAAGCCAGGGCTCTGGGCACAGCAGGCCAGGGCTCTACACCAAGCCCCATTCCTGGATGTTCTGCAGATATCCCGACACCTGGACAACCCACCAAATTACCCAGCAGTGTTAGGAATTTCTTTCCACTACTGGGGACTGAACCAGGACCCTCACACTGAGATACACCACAGCCCTTCTTGTCTATTTTGACACAGGGTTGCTAAGTTGCCCAAACAGGGCTGTAACTTGTGATCCTCCTGCCTCAGCCTCCCAGGGTGCTAGGATGATAGGCCTGTGCCATCAGCACTGGCCCAGGGGCACGATATTTTCAAGGCAGTAATCTCACCTCCTCTGCCCTGTGCAGTAGGTGAGCAGGGAGTCCATCTGAGAGGGAGCTGTCGGAACCGCTGGTGCTGTCACAGAAGGAAAGCAGAAGGGACACGGCCAGCCGTGACTAACACTCACAGGAAGTGACACCTGCCAGCCGTGTGGGACTGGGATACCCAGTCTGCCACTCGCTCTCTATGCTTCCAGTACTGAGATTACTTTTCCCTGCTGCTAGGCATGGACCATGCCAGGCAAGTGCTCCAATCCAAGCTCCACCCACTGCCCATTTTTATTTTATTTTGAGACAGGGTCTCACGAAGTTGCCCAGGTCGGCCTTGAACTAGGGATTCTCCTGCCTCAGCCTCCCAAGTAGCTGAGATTATAGGCCACGTCACCACACCTGACAGGAAAAATTCATGACCCGAAGTCCATTCACTCGTCCTGAACCACTGCCTGCCGGGCAGCAGGTCAGGTACAGGCAACTGCAGTGCAACCCAGCCAGGTCACAGCATGCGGGGCAGAGCTGCATGTGGCCAGGGTTGGGGGCAGCCACAGGAGCTGCCGTGTGCACTCCCAGAGGGCAGCGGGGCCTGGGACTTGTTTGGGCACAGACGCCCCTCAGCCATTCCTGTCTGGCTGCTCTGTTCCCAGGCCAAGACTGATAGGTCTCCCACCACCTCAGCAGCTATTATGTATAGTAGCTGCCCTCTTCCTGAGGTGCCTTGCCCCCTCCCCTGTGTGACATCATGCCAAGATGGTTGCTCCCACCAAAGAATAAACCCTTCTTCCCAGCATGCCCCTGTTCCCGCCTAGAGAGTAACCTAATACTCACTTACCTCCTACCACCTAGTGACATCACAGGCTTCTCCATTCCCTAGTCACTACCTCACTCAACCCCACCTCAGCCCCTACAAACCCCTCCCCAGTCTCTATAAAAGACTCTCCCTGCCCCGTTGCTTTTGTCTCTCCTTTGTTCAGAGACACCCCGGCAGATCTATTCCCCTAATAAAGGCTTGTTGTGGCCTGGTCTGGTCTTGGTTTTCGGCCCTTTTACCGGACAAAGACCCTACCAAAGACCCTACCAAGTGCTTGTTTTTTGGGGGGTGTTTTTTTGGTACTGGGAATCAAACTCAAGGCCTCATGCTTGCCAAGCAGGAATGGTGCCTGAGCCACATCCCTGGCCCCTACCAAGTACTTGGTAAAAATGTATTGAGTATATAAACAAACAAACCTTGGTTTTCTTTCCCGTTTTTTGAGACAGCCTCTCACTATGTAGCCCAGACTGGCCTCGAATGTGCGGCAATCCTCCTGCCTTAGCCTCCTGAGTGCTGGATTACAGGTGTCTGCCACCACGCGTGGCTTCTTGTTTTTCCTTTGAACTGGGGATGGACCCAGGCCTTGCACATGCTAAGCAGGGCCCTCTAACTGAGCTGTAGCCCAGTCTTCACCTGCTTTGTTTTTTGAGACAGGGCCTCACTAAGTTGCCTCAACTGCACTTGAATTCAGGATTGTCCTGCCTCGGCTTCCTGAGTAGCTAAAATTACAGGTGTGCACCTGGCTCTGTATAAACAAATCTGGTAGTATTTGGAGAGCAGAGACCAGGAGTATCACTTTGTATGTGTGTGGTTCTTTTTTTTTGGACAGGGTCTTGCTCCTCACTCTGTAGTTCAGGCTGGCCCTGAATGCATGATGAGCTTCCTGCCTCAGCCTTCCTAGTGCTGGGAATGCAGGTGTGCACCCTGGTGAACACAGGGCATTTGGATTGAGTGACATCCACAGCCCTTCTTTTATTTTGTATTTTCAGATGGAGTCTTGCTAAATTGCCTGGGCTGACCCCAAACTTGGCCCCAGGCTGGCCCCAAACTGTCTCAGCCTCTCTAGTGCTGGGACTATAAGCATGCACCACCATGCCTGGCTAGGAGTATTATGTTTATCACCCAGCTCTCCCTGCGAAAGTTCTGTGTGCCCATCTAGACTAATCCAAAGCGCCACTCCACAAACTGTCCCTGCTCTTCAGGGCCAGGGAGAGGGCGCCCCACTTGCTTCCTGTTCTCCTTCATCCAGTCCTTGGCTGATCAGCTCAACGGGTGTCCCCTGCCCAGTTCAGCTGCCAGTACCCAGAGCCAGCTGGGACCCTCCAGCCTGCCCTGCCGAGCCATCCCGAGGACCAATGGGAGGTGACCTGGGCCTCCTGACCAGAGGCTGCCAAGCTGCTTTCTGTAATTCTTTTTCTTGATTTTTGTTTTTTTGGGGTTTTTTTGGTACTGAGGATCGAACTCAGATCTTTGTGCTTGCGTAGCAGGCGGCGAAACCACTGAGCTAAATCCCTGGCCAGATTTTTGTTTTTTGAGACAGGGTCTCACTATGTAGTGCAGGTCGGCTCTGAACTCATTCTGTCCCCCCAGGTTGGCTTCCAACTTGGAATCTGCCTGCCTCTGAGTACTAGAATTACAGGTAGGAGAGAGCACGCCTGGCTTTTGCAGTAATGCTTTACTTTTCTTCTTTGAGAGAGGGTTTCATTCTGTAATTTGTGGTGACCTCGAACTCATTATGTAGCCCAGACTAGCCTTGAACTCAGGGTCTACAGGACAAGGGGCTGTGGAGGCCCCAAGTTCGGACTAACACCAAGACAGCAAGAGAGGAAACAAAACGACAAATTAAAACGAAAACAGGCCGGGGGTGCTGGCACACACCTGTCATCTCTGCACTTGGGAGGCTGAGGCAGGAGGATGGTTGCAAGTTCAAGGCCAGTCTAGGCTACACAGGGAGACTCTGCCTCAACAAACAAAAAACCCCACAGAGAAGGGCTGGGGGTGTAGCTCAGTGGTGGAATGCTTGCCCAGCATGTACCAGGCCCTCGGTTCTACCCCAGTACCCAGGGAAAAACAAACAAAAAAGAATGGCTTTCATAATCAAATTTGCTAGCTGGAGGCTAGCCTGGACTATATAGTGAGACCCTGTCTCAAAAACAAAAGAGCAAAGCAAATGAAGTCCACTTGTTTTTCTTTGAAATGAAATTTCTTACCTGGATTCAATGTCAGACAAATGGATGTCACTCCAGTTTTCTTCTAAGTTCACATCTTGTCCAAGCTCACTGAGTTTCCTGTGGATTTCCTGGTGTACCAGCTCCGTAAGCTCTGCTAGACACTGAATGAACTGTTGCAGTGAAGAACAGAACTACTTTTGATACCTGTTTATGTAGTCATCAAATACGGAGTACATGGAAACCAAAAAACAAAACAGTAACAAGAAAAGCCGGGCAGGGTGGTGCACGCCTGAGATGCCTGCACTCGGGAGGCTGAGGCAGGAGGATCGCCACAAGTTCGAGGCCAGCCTGGGCTACACAGTGAGACCCTGACTCAACAGCACCCAAAAAAGCAATGAGTAGACACCGAAAGGCTGGCAGACTGCGGCTGGGAACAGTCAGGAGTAAGTGCTTTCCTTCAGCGGCAGCCAGGGTTTTAAATAATTCGGAGCTCACTGCATTTCTCGAAGCCCGTCTTACCTTGGTTTGGTCAGGATCACAGAAGTCCAGGAGGGTATCACAGATGTGGTGACCCAGAGCCTTGAGGTCCTCGGTGGTGAGGTGAGTGTCTCTCCTACTGCCTGCAAATGAAACACAAGGCACACTCTCTATGGGGAGGTTTTTGTTTGTTGTGGTTTTTTTGAGGCAGGGTCTTGCTATGCACGTAGCCCAGGCTGGCCTTGAACTTGGCAGCAGTCTTCCTGCCTCAGCCTCCTAAGTTCTGGGATGACAGGCCCAGCTTGTAGAAGAATCTTTGATAATAAAAAGAGCATTGTCATGGTGACTGTCACTGCTGAGGTTTGCCCTGTGGCAGGCGCAGGCATGATGTGTACTGTTTTATCACTTGTACATCCTCCCTGAGCGGCCCTGAGAGCGGGGACCTTGTCACTGGCAGAGGAAAACCAGGTTCAGAGAGGCTGAGCAGTTCACCAGGCCATTCCATCCAGACCGCACCCCACATGTGGGTGCAGGGTCCCCAAACACACAGCCGACGAGGGCCTCCCTGCCTTTGCCCCGGGCTGTGCCAGGCTGGCACTGAGCGGCTCACCCAGTGTGGACCCCCCGAAGGTGGACTCCAGGGTGTAGCTGTTTCGGATCCCCATGCGCCACATCACCACACGGCCCGTGCCTTCTCTGTTCTTCTGGACTTTAAAGTTACAGCTCTGAAACGAGAACTGCAGAGAACCGCACGCTGTTGCTTACACTCACGGGGAACAGCAGTCTCAGGTTCAGGGCTGTGTAATGCGATGGTTCCCTAGAGTTCTACATGGGGCGGTCTCCTTCCTAAAGCGGGTCTCATGAGACATCTGCTCTGAGAGGTGCCAAGGGGTTTTATGGCCTGGGCCAGGTGGCACATGCCCGTCATCCCAGCACTTGGGAGGCTGAGGCAGGAGGACCGCTTGTGACTTCCAGGCCAGCCTGGGCTACAGAGTGAGACCCTGTCTCAGGAAATACACAGCTAAAGCTTCATCTCAGACACTGTGCCTGGGAGGCTGGGAGGCCCGGCCCTGGGTCCTGGGTCCTGCTCACCTTCTCCGGGGCGTTCTTGCTTAGCATGAGCGGGAAGACCCGCTCGTGCAGCCAGTGCCTGCGGCTGTTGCTGCTGCAACCGTACAGGAAGACGTTGTTCTTGCGGCTGTGGCCGTGGAAATCGCAATACAGGAGAACCTCTCTTTCTTCCAGGAGTCTGTGGGGGCAAACACAGGCCTCAGTGGGGATCTGAGGGCCATCGAGGTTGCTTCCCTAGGTGCAACTGTTGGTGCCTTTGCTTCTAGGAAAAGTGCAACTCTGGGACCCAGGATGTAGCTCAGTGGCACTGTGCCTGCCTGGCAAGCGTGAGGTCCTGAGTTCAATCCCTGGTACTAAAAAAAAAAAAAATGCAACTCTGAAGCGGGCATGGTGGTGCACACCTGTGATCCCAGCACTGGGAGGCTGAGGCAGGAGGATCATTGCGAGTTCAAGGCCAGCCTGGGCTACATAGCAAGGCCTGGTCTCAACCAAAAGCCTGAGCAGCCGGAAGGCCTCACCTTTGGACCATGTTCCTGGTGTACCAGATGCACGGGAAGGCGTCCTTCAGGAGGGTCCGGTAGTGGCGGTTCAGGTCCCGCCCGGACAGCGAGCAGCGGTGGTTGCCCACGATCACGCCGTCAGGGTTCAGCATGGGGACCACTTTGAAGACGAAGAGGTCGCGGAGGAGCTGCGCGTCGGGGGAGCTGCCAAGGATGAAGTCCAGGAAGCCGCGCATCACCCACGAGCCGGCGCTCTCCCCGGGGTGCACGCGCGCGCTCAGCACCACGGCCCTCTTGGCGGCGGCGGCCTGCGGGCCGCGCGCGGGGTTGGTGACCGTGAGCAGGTACACGGGGTTGCCGGCCAGGCTGCAGCACAGCGCGCGCAGCCTGCACACGCGGGCCCGGGCCGGGTCGCGCGCGGCGGCCCGCAGGTAGCGAGTCAGGTCGGAGAAGGTGTAGGGGTAGCCGGGCGCCCAGAAGCACGTGTCGCGGTCGTGCGGGAAGCGCGCCGTCCACGTGAGGCAGTAGCTGCCGGTGCCGCCCCGGAAGTAGCGGATGTCACCGCCCTCCCGGCGCCACCCGACCCGGCTGCTGCAGGCGTCGCGCTGCGAGTAGAGCAGCGGCCGCAGCCCCACGGCAAACAAGCTGCGGGGCTTGCGCAGGTTGACGATGGTGAAGCGGTAGCGCACGTCCTTGCGGGTGTTCTGCACGCGGAAGTAGAACCACTGCGTGTGGCGGTCTGTGTAGAGGTCGGGCCGCAGGGTGAGCTCGTACTCGTAGGCGGCCCTGTCACGAGCACAAAGAAGGCAGGTCACACCCCCACAGGACACGCTCTACCTAATGTTTATCCTCTTCCTTGTTTGGCTTGCTTATTTATTTTTGGTACCGGGGATCAAACTCAGGTCCTTGCGCTTGCAGGGCAGGCGTTGGAACCACTGAGCTAAATCCCCAGCCCCTATTTATTTATTTTTGATACTGGCGCTCACTGTGTAGCCCAGCCGATCCTCCTGCCTCAGCCTCCTGGTTCTGGGATCGCAGGTGTGCCCCACCACACCCGGCTTGGAGAAGTTATTACTGTCTGGGACATGTTTTTACTAATAGGGACTTAAGTGCGCTCCATTTTCTTCTGCAAGCCGGAGAGATGATGTAGATAAAGTTCACTCTGGGGAAGCTCAGGAGTGGGATTCTCCGTCTTCTTCGGGCCCCCCCCCTCCACCTCTTCCCCTTCCGGACCCCCTCCTACGCTCATTCTGCGACAGCGGACTCGCGGCGACTCACACTTTGACGGCTTTCTGCAGGTTGCCACTCTCAAACCTCGACTCGAAGAGCAGGGTGTCGTCCTCCGGACCGTGCAGGGACACGGCGAGCTGCTGGACCGACCCGCGCTTGCCGCCCACCCGCGAGCTGGTGAAGTAGGAGCCTTCGGTGGGCACTGAAGACGAGAGAGTTTAGGCCAGGTCCGCTCAGAGTTTTCGCAGCCAGCAAATAGGTGCCGAGCCCCCTACCTGCCAACACTGTTCTGGGTTAACAAAAGAAATGTTCAGGTTTTCCTCAAATCGGCAGCGATCCTCCTGTCTCAGCCTCCCAAATTCTGGGATGACAGGTGTGCACCACCACGCCCAGCTCAATGACGTTCTATGGAGTATCTGAAAACATCTGAAATCTTATTCTACACAAAACACAAACAGGGCTGGGGATTTAGCTCAGTGGTGCTGCACCTGACTCACAAATGCAAGGTTCTGGGTTCAATCCCTGGTACCAGGGGGGAAAAAAAAACAACAGAAACAGAAACTGGGTGTGATGACACACGCCTGTAGTTCCTGGACTCAGAGGCTGAGGCAGGAGGATCACCAAGAGTACCAGGACAGCCTGGGCTGTAGAGTGAGGTCAAAACCAGTCTGAACTACATAGCAAGACCTTGTCCTCCCCTGCAAAAGTTAACTTTTCTTATGGAAAATAGGTATGTGGTAACTTTGTCGCAACACATCCTTCAGTGTGCTTCAGGGTGGTGACAGTACCTGACTGTAACTGGTAGACAACTGTTCCTTTCTCTTCGCCCATAATTTCCGGGACCTTTTCATTTCCTGTTGACTGATAGAAATATTCTGGTTCTGGTGGGACCCACTCTGGAAGGAGACATTTTATTTATTTAATATTTATTGGAACCAAGGATCAAACTCAGGTCTTTGTGCTTGTGCAGCAGGCAGCGAAACCACTGACCTAAATCCCCGGCCCTAGTTATTTATATTTTAGCAAAACATTTACTGGTACATTTTAGATATACATAATGATAACATTCATCATAGGGAATTTGTACCAGTACGTAATATATCTTGCTGCTTTTTTTCCCATTCCCCTGCCCTTATGTACAAAAGCTTTGTTTCCATCTTTTCCTTCAATTTTCTTTTTTTCTTTCCCTTTCTTTCCCCTCCCCTCCCCCCTCCCCTGTTCCCCTTCTCATCTGAACATTTTCTTCCCATTTACCAATGTCTATTGTACATTTTGGTTCTTATTTCCACTTTTGGTTTCCCACACCGGAGAAACAATGTGGTATTAAATGTGTGTCTGATTTATTTCACTCAAGAGTATGGTCTCACGTGCATCCATTTAGCTAGAAATGTCTGAAGCTCATCCATCTTAGGAAGAAGACATTTTAAAGAGTATGTAGTGAGAAATAATATAAAAGGCACCATCACGGCTGATATGAAATTGCAGTGATTAGGGCCAGGGATTTAGCTCAGTGGTGCTGCCCCCTGCCTTGCAAATGCAAGGTTCCAAGTTCCATCCCAGGTACCAAACAAACAAACAAACAAAAAACACACTGGTACTCGAAATTGCAGTGATTATCAAATGTCCAGTTTGGTCAAATCCAGCCAGGTCTAACCCCATTTCCAGCTTGTTCCTAAATTAATTATGCCTTGTTTCTTTCCATAAAAACTATGAGGATACTTTTAACAAAAAGCATATACAGTGAAATAATAAATCTTGTTTTATTGTATTTTATTTTTTGAGATAAGGTCTGACTATGTAGCCCAGGCTGGACTCAAATTCCTGGCGATCCTCCTGCCTCAGCCTCACGAGTGCCAGGATTACAAGCATGTGCCACCAAACCCAGCCTCAGAATATAGTTTAAAAACCTTCCTGGAATATAAATTCAACCGAGCATATTAATACAGAGACAAAGAACCTAGAAACAGCTTTAAGGATCCTTGCGTTTGGGACTCTAGGAAAGCAACCCCGTCCGGGTCGGCCCAGCCAGAGGCCAGAAGCGCATCATCCCGGGGCCTAGCTCGCACCCACCAGCCGCTGGACGCGGCCCTCACCGATGTGCTGCACCCTCTCCCTGATGACCTCGCACTCCACCGGCCAGCGCGGAGCCTGCAGGGGTCCCCTGCCTGAGAGCACCGGGAAGAGCTCGCGGGGCTCTCGCAGCCGCGGGGTGGCGCTGTCGGGCTCGTCGTAGAGAAGCTGTCTGCTCCTGACCCGCGCGGGGCTCAGCGACCGCCGACCTACGAAGGGAAGGGCGAACCTGGAAGGGTGCTTTTCCTCCCAGGGCCTTCGCTGCGCCCGTGCGACAGCTAAGTCAGGTTAAGCGCGGACGTGTGATCCCGTGTCTCCTCTAAGGAGCAATTTAGTACCGCATGACAGGTTCAAAGTCATAAAATGTTACGATAAAATCATGCATAGTCCAGCCAGGTGTGGTGTGTAATCCCAGCACTCTGGGAGGCTGAGGAAGGAGGGTTACAAATTGGAGCCCAGCCCGGGCAACTTCGGGACTTAGTGAAACCCTGTCTCAAAAGTAACACATGTAAAGGGCTGGGAGTGTACTCAGTGCAAAGGCCCTGGTTTAATCAGAGTACTGCCAAATAATAATAATAATACACAGTCTATTAAATATTTAGATATAAAGCTTTACAGTAAATCAGGCTTTTTTTTTTTTTGGTAAAGATAATGATTCAGGGCTGGGGGTGTAGCTCAGTGGCACAGCACCTGTCTGGCAAGTGTGAGGCCCTGAGTTGATTCCTGGTACAAAAAAAAAAGATAATGATCCCAAGACATTGAAACAGTGGGTTACACAAACAAAAAGAGACCTAGTGTGCCTTTTGGGGGGCGGGCTGGAGATTCCTGAGGCCTCCAGGACTCTGGGATGACAGTCCTGGCCACTACACTCAGCTTTCACTGTGTCTTCTTACTTCATTTCCTTTCAGAGTGCCACAGAGGGAACTTTAGTGCACCCATCAGCATTTTAGGAAAAATAGTACATAAAACATTTGTTTGTTTTGAGACAGGGTCTTGGTATGTCGTCCAGGCTGGCCTTGAACTCACTATGTAGCTCAGGCTGGCCTTGAACTCGCAGTGATCCTCCTGCCTCAGCCTCCTGAGAGCCGGGGTTACAAGCGTTCGTCACCTGCTGGCCCAGGCAGCTGGGCGTCTCCTTGGTCCCCCCGCCAGATGTCAGGCAGGACAGGGCGGTCGCTACTCACCCTGCGGCGTCTCCTTGGGCAGGGCGGCGCGGGTCACAGGCTCCCGCTCCCGGGGGCGGCCGCTCTTGGGGCCGGGCGGCGGGGGGACGGGGCTGGGCGGGCGCCCACTCTGCACTAGGAACAGCGGGGTCAGCGCTCGGGTCCCACCCGAGCCGGCCCGACCGCGCCCCTGCTCCCCTAGAGCCGCGCAGCCCCGGAGCGCGAGCGCAGCGCGACCCCAGGTCACAGCCGTGAGCGAGCAGGGGCAGAGCTGAGCGCAGCGAGGCCGGCGGGAGGGGCGGCCGGCGGGAGCCCAACCCCGGGGAGGGCGCCAGCACCAGGGCGGCCTGAGGCCCCTGTCCTGGGCCATCTGCGGAATCTGGCAAACCGGAAATTCAGCAAACTAGTAATCATTTCGAAAATGAAGAAATGGTGGTGGTGGTGGAGGTGGCACTAGTTATCCCAGCACTCAGGAGGCTGAGGCAGAAGGATCACGAGTTCAAGACTAGCCTGGGGTACACAGTGAGTTGAAGGGCAGAGATGGCAGTGTTGGCCCAAAGACAGACAAAGCGCGAGTGTGTCACGGCCAGGAGAGGAAGCAGAGCAAGGCGAGGAGGAAGCACTCGCTACCAATGGGCATTGAGAGTGCGTCTCGGGGATGCTCCCTCCCTCTGGGCGCACAGCCCCCTTGGGACACGGGCCGGCCGGTCAGGGTTACCTCGGAAGTAGCCGTAGTACTGCAGGTGACGGCGCATGAAGTCCTCGTAGGGGTCGGGCAGCGGCTGTGGAGGATAGTCACCCCCTCAGGGAACCCTCTCCCAGGGAGCCCGGAGTCTCCACAAAAAGCGCACGGGCACACACGCGCGCGCGCACACACACACACACACACACACACACACACACACGGACAGCCATCCGTAACCGCACAAAGAGCTCTGGGAACTGCCCTGCCCAGCTGGGATCTGCAGCTGGACCTTCAGTCTGGGGCTGGGCGGAGCGGACCCACCTGCTGCAGCTCGGTCTTCAGCGCAGGGAACATGCTACCTCCGCATGGCGCCCGCGCTCCCAGGGGACTGCTGCTCACACAGAAGCTGCGGGTCGGAGGCGGGAGAGTGACAGCCCTGCGGCTGCCAAGGGGCGTGTGTGCGGGGCGCGGGGGGGGGGCATGGCTGTTATCCCAGCTACTGGGGGGCGCTGACCCAGGAAGATTAGCTTGGGCAAATTAGGGAGACGTCAAAACAGAAATATAAAAAGGGAAGCTGAGTTCATGCCTATAATCCCAGCACTTGGGATGCTACACAAGAGAGTTAGAGGCCAGCCTGAGATACATTAGCCAGACCTTGTTTTAAAAATTAAAACGAGGGCCGGGGATTTAGCTCAGTGGTTCCTCCG